TTGATTGATGTCGCACGGACGTCGAAATCACATCAATCGACGTTATGTTCTAAAAACGATCAATATACCGATGTCGACTCGAGGTGCTGTTGCCCACTGGGGGAGGGGGACGGAGACGGGGGGGGGGGTCCGCAAACGAAGGGTCGGACGTTCTAAAAACGTTTTTAAAACGTCCGCAAAAACCTAAATTTAGCGGAAAATGTTGGACCAAAGTGGACGTTCTAAGAACGTTTTTTAAACGTATGCAAAAAACCTAAATTTTGCGGGAAATGTTACGTCCAAAATGGACGTTTTAAGAACGTTTTTAAAACGTTTGATAAGGGCGAAGACGAAACAGGACCTAAAAAGAACGTCCATAAGACGTTTTTTGGACGTTCAGTGTTACCTGGGATGTCGCTAAGAGATGATTGCATTGTCGCCGGGTGGCGCACACGTGGCGATTTTTATCAACAGTGCTGTCGATAAAAGTCGCCGGTACTGTCGATAAAAATTGCCACGTGTGCGCCGGGCTTTAGGGCAGCTAAATTAGGTCTAAAAATTGCCTTAGGCTAGGCTATTTACCTGAATGAGGTTATTTGTTCCAGCATGCAACACAATAAATGTCGCTCCTTTAAGCAGCCGATGCAGTCTGTTCTCCTCACCACCAACATCCAGAACTTGGCCCACAGTCGCACCAGAGGAGACGAACAAGTTCTTCCCATCTATGACGTCGACCACGGTTCCATCAGCTGCTGAGCATCGACAGTAACCGCCAAGGTACTTGAGTATAGAGTCACTGAAAAACAAAAACGGCGAAGCAGCAGCAGAACCAGACATCTCAGAAACACATGAAAGCTTAGACATAACCATACTACCCAGTTTTTACACAAAAAATAAGAGAAAACAACTCTGAAAAATGTGAAAGAAAGATGGCGGAAATTTGCTGTCTAGTCTTGTAGACACGCGGTCGCTGAAATTCAATCAATTTTTTTTAAACAAGCAAATGAACGTTCTCAGACTGCAGGTATTCGGATTCTCTGGCAATTTATCTCACAGGATATATCGAGTTCACGTGGTTTTATAACTCCTTGATTGCAAATTCGATGGAAATAGCAGAGATAGATGTGAAATCGAACTTCTGCTATGGACGCACGGCAAGGAGAGGAAGGAAGCGCATGGGCCAATGGTTAACGCGGCAGTGGCGCCATGGCATGTGTGAATCAACCAATGCTGTGTTACTGTTAGCATTGTGTTAGCATAATTGCGTAACAACAACATGCTCACTATGATGAATATCATTAATGTTTATAACATAGATGGTTTATAAGTTGTTTAATATTTTATTAAATATTAAAATATTAATGGTAATAATTAATAAGTAAATAGAACAGTTTTGCTTGATTTTTTATTAATAAAATACTTAATTCCTATCAAATTTCTGGTAATAAACAAATGAAATGCCTTTACTTGGCTTTTTATAATCTTTTTTTAATGGTATATATGATTATACCTTAGACAATTCAAGAGTAGCTAGCTGGTCAGCATTAAACATAGATGCAATTCTGTTTCACTGTCTTCAGTTTTTTTCCCCAATACATTGTTTCTGAAAGCATACATCGAAGAAACAATAAAAACTCAGAATAATTATATTTAAAATATATATATAGCTGCATGCTTCCATTTTGAGTAACTGCATGGGTTGCCACGATGTCTCTTTATTCAGCCACTTCTGTATTATACAATATTCCCATCTAGTTCTGATTGTAAAAGAAATAATTAAAGTTGGGATCTAATTATTTTTCTGATTTCAAGATGTTTTGTATCAGTTGTAGGGTCGCCAATGCCAGCTCCACCATCATTACTATGGTATGCTATATATATGTATGCTTGTATACTAGGGATCTACTGTTGCTATGTTGTCGAAATTAAATTATACATCAATATATCAATTTATTATTTAGTATTTATTTGAAAGTTGCAACACCATGTACCATGCAGAAATAAGCAAACGAAATTAACTAAACTATGACTAGTAAGAGCGGGCTGCACTTATAACAGCTCACCTTGAGTTTCGATGGAGGGTAGGAGCGGTGAGTGCCGGGACCATAGAACCTTGACCAACACAGCAAACGACTGACCGCATAGAAGCATTCGCATGGAGCGAGCGAGTGAGGGGGGACAAGGGGTAAAACGGGCTGCACTCATGGCTTACCTTAAGTTTCGATGGAGGATAGGAGCAGTGAGTGCCGGACCATAGAACCTTGACCAGCACAGCGAACGCGATGGCCAGCTTGCCTCCTGTGCCAAGCGGGTTTTTCCGCTGTTAATCCGTTCTGGATACCCTTCCCTCTGCAACGACAACACCGAACATCCACACTCGGCTGTTACACTTTGAAACGTCCTTGTATAAGCAGTTTTAAGTTTGAACACGCATAGTGTTCACGCACCTAGAAAGGTGATCAGCTGACTAGAGTTTTTAGCCACTTGAACACACCACATCTCTATTTAGACAAGTGCTGCCCGAATTTACGTTTTAAGCGCTTTGAGCACGACCATTGTTCACCTTGGAAGTAATTGCTGAATTCACAGATAAAGGTTTGAAAACGCATGCTGTTCACCAAGGAAGTGAGCCCTAAACTCACATGTGGCACATAACATGGCTCGTTGTTGCCACTCAGGAAGTGATACGCTGAACATTAACGCTTTTTAGGTTTTGGAACACGACCCATTGCCGGTCCTGTGTTCCGCGGACCACCATAGGCAAGTGATCGCAGACATTTGCGGGTCAGTTTGAACACACGCGCGTTGTTCGCTCACAGTAGGAAGTGATCGCGCGAACTCTCGCATGTGTTCGACAGCGCCTGCCAAGCACACTGTTCATAAAGCAACGTGTTTTCCCTAGATTGTCGAGACCAGTAAACCTCCGGCGCCAACACCGGCTCCGTCGCGTTGACGGGACCGGCTTGTGATAGCGCGATGACCATGCACGTCGAGCTATCGGCGTAGAATCAATTGGAAGAAAGGTGGTTCTGTAGCGAAATGGCTGTAAACAATTGTAGTGAAGTATATGTTTATGTAAAGATCAGCTGTAAGAAGGAGAGAAGGCGTTCAATGCCAGCCAATAATATGCTAAGCAATGTAGTTGAAGCGTGTTTATGTCAGCATGGCTATAGTATATGTTGGCGAGCGTGTTAAGGTGTTATAGCAGATTGGCAACAAGGAGCCGAAAAGTGAGGACCGGCGGGGAGATGCAGCTACCTTGATGCATTACTGTCCCCGATTCCCGGTTGTCCCTGACTGTTCCCTTCGTGTAGGAGTAGCAGCCTTCTCCACCAGCTTTAGCCTGCGCGGGAATCACGTGTTACAAGGGACTGCGGTGGCGCCCTGCCGCCGCGCTACTGGCACGGCCGCCGCCGGCCGGCCCTGCCGCTCAGCAAACGATGAAAATGCAAAAATGTAACATACTGACGTGATTAATATAAACGATAATAACGTTCAGAGAGAATAACATCGATCAGTATCAACATAAGTTCTAGTTACATAAGAAGCCCTTGCACATACTAAGAAATGATCTGTGGTCACAGAATAGTTTTCGTAAACGTATTGGAAGTATTCGTGTTAAACACGTGAATACTCATCGTGATTTGTTATTGACCAATAGTATTAACCAACGGCCTCTGGGGGCCCGTGGCAATAGCTGCCTAGCGCAAGGTCCTTTGAGTGCGATTTCGTTACAATCTTGGGGGGTAAGGGCGGGCGAGGGCGGAGATAGTTGTTACAGGTTTTTTGCGGCGTGGCTCGTACGTTTTAACGGATGGTGCCTCCGAGCGTTGGCCAGTGCTGCCTCTCCGCACCTTGCTAGTGTGACCTCCGCCACCATTCGTTGTCCGTGACTGTACTTGCACTCAGCTACTTTCACTCGGCTCGCTGCGGGGAACGAAGCACGCGCGCCGGCGCGAGACAGCGTAAGAGTTTAAGCATGCAGGCGTTTAGGTCATGCAGGGTAACGGCTGCAATGGCTAAGGACAAGGAAGGTTTTCGTTAATTTTATTAAGAAATTTTTATTATAATTTCTACCATATAATCTGAATATATAATTATTATTATAATATATAATTATAATATATTACATTAACTATTATTCACATACATATAATTTATGATAATCAGCAATAATAATTTAAATATAATTTGTATATGAAATAATTTTTAAATTTCCATGGCTGGACTGCTCGTTTAGGCTCATACTCGGGTATTATGGCCACATGGAAAATTCCCAGATCACCAAGGCGTGAAGTAAGCGGCAGGTTACGTCAGATAAACTGCTAGAGCACATAACCGACTCTCTCTCGCGACTAACTAACGTGAGATGGTGAGCCGATTAAAGATGATTAACGGATGATGAACTCACCTTAGCATGACGGTCCAGGAGAAAAGAGTGTCTTTGTCTGTGTCTTCATGCATCGATAGAAACTTCTCATCCCTGTTGACGAAAGCAAAACTTGGGAGTCAATTCCATTTCACACGCATCGCATGCATTTAACATTACAGCACGT